CCTGTCCCCTGAGGTCGCCTGGGCACACTTGGTGCCAGGCAGCTGGGACATCTATAGTCATAAGAGCAGTAGGTAACAGCGAAAATGGACCTCCCATTTATTATTTCATTTACTTTTTAAAATTTTAGCAGCTGGCGTATCGTTTGTTCTGGACTTGCTCTGCTGTGGACAGCCCCTGCCTCCCTGCCTCCTCCCAGCACCACATGGTGGCTGCAGACAGCGGCCTTGCTCCCCTCCCAGGGTAAGATTGACCTACCCGGCACAGCACAAGACCTTGAAGAAAAGAGAAATGCTCCCACTCAGAGGTCCCCATTTACAGAGGGAGAATATCAGCCAGCAGTGGGGGCTGCGACTGTGAGTTCAATTAGGGCTGCCAGATTTAGCAAATAAAAACACAGGACGACCAGCTGAGTTTGCCTTGCAGGTAAACAACAAATACTGTCTTAATATTGATGTATGTCTCATGCAATATTGGGAATTTATTTACACTAAAATACTATTTGTTTATCTGAAATTCAGATTCAACTGGGTGACCTATATTTCACCTGGCAACCCTATTTTAATGTGCAAATACTAAAATGAACTGAAAAATCTTCCATGCAAGGTACTGAAAGTGCCTGCAATTGGAGCAAGGGCGGAAGAGAGTGAATATTGCTGAGCTCCATTTGCTGCAGCAAAGAAGTTATTAGATGTCTGGCATGTTCTGCATTAGGCATTAAGCACATGCCATCCATGCCTACAAAAGTGCCTCCCTCAAAGCCTGGGCAATGATTTACAAAGCAGTAAACATGGAAATTCACTCACACCCAAATCCAGGGGGAAGAACACCCAGAACATCAAGTCCTGCCTGCAGTTGCCAAGGAAGAAACAAAATAAACTGTGACCAGACAAATAGCTGCAAAAGTGTTTTTGCACAGAAGTGGAGTTACTTGTATGGAGAGTGGATTATCTAAAAGCTTGCTGTTGTACAAAAGAGAAGCCGCTGAGAGCTTTCTGTTCTGTAAGATCTGCCTCTAGTGACCACATCGCTCACACACACACTCCACCCAGGTCCCAACCTCGTGGCTTCAAAATGCACCAGCTGTTCCTTCGGCTGACTCAGCAGCTTGGAATGGATTACTTTCAGTTAAGTTGGTGGCATATTTAAAAATACTGTAAGTACTGCCCTGGCTGGCATGGCTCAGTTGGTTGGGCGTCATCCTGGGCACCGAAAGGTTGCTGGTTCGATTCTGGGTTAGGGCACATGCCCAGATTGTGGGTTCAGTCCCCAGTAGGGGGCATGCAGGAACCAGCTGATCAATGTTTCTCTCTCACATTGATGTTTCTCTCTCTCTCCCTCTCCCTTCCTCTCTCTCTAAAAATAAAAAAAAATAAAAAATAAAAAAATATTTTAAAAATACTATAAGTACTACTTTGCTAGCTAAATTGTACACACATATGCACAGAAACATTCTTGCATTTACTGCTCAATTAAACTGAATGCCTAAGAGCAAAATGCTATGCCAGCCAGGCAGTGAGGGTGGGGTGTGGGATGTGAGGGAGCATGGGGATGGGGGCTGGACCACCCAGCCCTGCCCTCAGAGGGCTTAGAATCCAGAGAGAAAGACTCACAAAGACAAGCTTCCGACACCACATGTATCAACAATTGTCCAGAGAAATTAACTCCATGGTTGGGAAGGGAGGAGTGGAGGCAAGCGGGTAGGAATGAAAAGCTAGGGATGTGGGAAATATGCATGCTGGACTTCTGACCATATTATAAAGTAATTTATGGGCAGATGCAGAGGGAATGTCAATGTATTATTTAGACCACCTATCTAAATAATAGATGTTAAATTGAATCCAAAAGTACTAAAATGTAATGGGCTATAGCTGTATGTGGGTCAGTGGAGGAAAAAATCAATTTACAAATGCATGAGCAAGATTCAATTCCCATTTAATGATGAAGGCCCAACCGTTTCGGACAGTCTAACTCTGGAAGCACGTGGAAATTTTGTCTTTGAGTACATAATGCTATGAACTGAAGCACGTAAGCAAAATTCCACACACTGGAGGAAACGCTGTTAATGCTAAATGCTAATGAGTATGGTTACCATTCAACAGAATATGACTTGCTTCTTTAAAAAAAAAAAAATGTGAACCCTGACCCAGGAGTGAATGAATGTATAGACTGCTCTTCTGTTATTCCCATGGACACATCGTTAGAACATGCAGTTTCACCAGGTAGGCAGATCATGTCACTGTCCTGTAGAAAACCTTCCGCAGCACACGCGTGTCACCTACATCACCCACCTCCTCGGCAGCGC